CTTTGTAGATATTTTCAATATAAGCTCCTTGAGGACAGGAACTGCTTTACTTTTGCCTTTGGATGCTCACACACTGCCTGGCACATTGGAGGGACTCATTAAGTGCCTGTGGAATTGTACTTACTTGTGTAGATGCTGCATTTCCTACTAGTAGGATGTAGGGTTTTTGGGGCTAAGGATTGTATTTATTTTTATTTTTGTATCCCTAGGGCCTAAAATAGTGTCTAGTACATAGTAGGGATGTAATAAATGCTCACCAAATTATTTACCTGTGTACATGCTGTATTCGCCACAAGGACGATTCTGTGTTTGTATATCCAGTACCTATCCTACAGCCATGTATGTAAGCTTTTAATGTTTGTTGATTAGAATTACACTTTCAGTCTCCATAAATGGGGTGCTGCTGCCAGTGCTCAGCAAGGCACTAAACCATTGCCAACCGACCCAATAGCCAGCATTTATATATCTCTCCTGGTTGTGCCAGTCTCCTTCTTCCACTGAGAAGTTCCTCCTATGGCTTCCATTTTGGCCAACCTTCATTCCTTTCCCAAACGTGCTTCTGACTTTCTGAACTTCAACTCCACGCCTCAGCTGCAGCGTCAACCTAGTACCTTCCTCAGTGGCTCCTCACCTTGGAACTTCTGACTCTGTGGTCATCTCATCCTGGAATATCACTCCTCCATGCTGGTCCCCTTTTCCCATTGGTGAGTTACTCCCAGGACCTCCATTTTGAGGGAAGACCTAGATCAGTCAAGGGCATCTAGGTGGTGCAGTGGATAGAGCACTGAGCCCAGAATCAAGAAGACCTGAGTTCAAATCCAGCCTCAGACACTTACTAGCTATATGATCCTGGGCAAATCACTTAACCCTGTTTGCCTCAGTTTCCTGTCTGTAAAATGGGAACACACTGGAGAAGGACATGGCAAACCACTCTAGTATCTTTGCCAAGAAAACCCCAAATAGGGTCATAAAGAGTGAGAACCAGACTGAAACAACTGAACAACAACCACCAGGCCAGTCAATCTTCCTACACCTCCTAGTACCACTTCTGACATTCTAGATTTTGACATCATGGCCCAGTATGGGCATCTTCCTCCCCTCTCCCTTCTTTTTGTGTGTTGTCATTCCCTATTAGAATGTAAGCTCCTTGAGGGCAAGAACTCTCTTTTTTTTCCTTCTTTTTGCTTCTATTTGTGCCAGGGATTAGTTCAGTGCTTGACACATAGTAATGACTTAACAGATGCTTGTTGCCTATATGGATCTTTTTTTTTTCCATTTTTAGGCAATTGGGGTTAAATGACTTGCCCAGGGTCACACAGCTAGTAAATGTCAAGTGTTTGGTCTGAGGCCAGATTTGAACTCAGGTCCTCCTGACTTCAGGGCCTGTGCTCTATCCACTGCGTCACCTATATAGATCTTTAAGGTTTACAAAGCGCTTTGTACATGTTATCACTTACAAATGTTATCTTTACATATATTATCTCAATAGCTACAGTAGTATAAGTGGCTGTCTTCATGGCTGAGATTTGAAAGGTCTATGGAAAGGCCCCTGTGCCCAAATTAACTTTACTTCATCCACCAATGTAGGGTGTTTTCATGAATAGCCCTGTGATACAGAATGCTGTGTGGGAGATCTCCCTAGAGACACCATTCAAAAGCCTGTGCCTTGTCTCCCTGATTCTTGAACTCTTTTTTCCCAAAGTATTTCCATACTTGTTCAGCATTGAAGGGTCAGAGGTTACTTAGCCAAACAGGGGTCACATCTCCCTCCAAATACTTCAGCATTCAGTATCACAGGGCTGTTCTATAGGAAACTGTATCGTGCTTGAGGTTGGAGTAGAGTTACAAAATAAACAATAGTGCTTGAAATTCATTCCCACATTCCCCACACACATGGACTAAGGCCTTAAGAAAGACCCTGCTAAAATACACATGTTATTTGAAGAAGTTAACTCATTAACTTATTATTAGCCATAAAAGATGAAAGAGCTAGTTACCAAGCAGGAGAGTGAAGGAATAATAGATGGGACTGAGAAATTTAAATGGACAGAAGGGGAAAGGAAAAGCCCAGTGCATAAAGAGAAATGAGGTGGAGTCTTGGCTGATCAAGGGTAGCATTCAGGCACCGGTTGGTGGAGGGCAAGGGACAGGGGGTGGCGTTGTATATGGAAGAGGAAAATATGGAAGGAGGTAGAAGACAAATTGACTCTGGCAGCAAAAACAGTGATAAAATAGTCATACCATCCTTTTCCTCTCCCCTTTCATGAGTGGTTAAATGGCCTTTAGAACTGATTGGTTACGATAACCAGACTGTTGAATGGAGGTTTGCTATTTACCTACCTCTTCATCTGAACTCCCGTTACTGGGCTCATGCTTCACTACCCTTCCTACCTCTCCATGCTCCCTCTCTCCCCCAAAACCTCCCAACCCAGCCACAAATCCAAGAAAGAAACTACGGTTCAGTGTAGAAACACAGGATTGGGAGTTGGGACACCAATTTTCTAGTACTGGAGTTGTCCCTAGTTAGCTGTGTAATCCTGGTCAAGTCACAAGGTTTAATTTCTTCAGCTATGAAATAGGAATAATTATCCACCCCTGCCCTATCTGACTTGTAGAGTTTGTTTGTTTTTCTAATTAAAAAAATTAGTAGGGTTGTTGTATAGACATTTAACAGAGTAGTAATTGTTAAGGATTGATTAAGGATCAAAATGTGGTGAGATTGATATCCTAGAGGGGCCATCACATGAAGAGTGCTCAGAGTTGCCATTCTTGGTCCCAGTCCAGATCATGTAGGAGTTCTGGGGCCTGCTTCCAGCTATATGTGACTCAGTACTAAAAGGTTTGTATTCTGAGATGATAAAGAACCCAATATTGGCTGTAGTTCCATCAGACTGTGAGTTCCTTGGGATCAGGGACTGGTCTTTAATTCTTCAGTGCTTAGCACAGTGCCTGGCACACAGTAGGTACTTAATGTTTATTAATTAACTATGGAGCCAGAAGAGCTGATGATTTAATGGATACATGAAAGGGAATGACTTAACCCCCTCAACTTTTCTGGCTGTCAGTTGTTTCAGGACTGATTTTAGCTGCTTCCCAAGAGGGAGTTGGGGAAAGGAGCAGCTTGTCCCAATCCCAACCATGGCATCCATGTGGATGTAAATATCTGGCACCTAAGCATATGTCCTGCTCCGGCAAGCTTGAGGCTGGGTTTGGGCTGCTTCTTTTTATGTTTGCTCTTTCCTGATCTTAGGAAAATGGGTATTTGCCTTAAAATGAATATGTCTGGGTACAAATACAACCTTATGGACAGATTTAGAAGTCCTGGGTCTTATCACATCAGAGCTGAATGGCAGTCCCTAGCAACTACTTCATCACTTTTGGATGGTCACCAACAAGAGGACTGGCCCAAGTCTGGCCATTTTACCAGCAGATATGTACTAAGAGAATGTTGAACAGTGAAGAGATGAGATGCCTAATCAGTAGTCCTGCAACTTGTCTTGTGTTTGATGAAGATTAACTATCAACCTCCTAACAGATTGTAATCATAGTTATAAATTATTAAATTTCGTTTTGTTTTTGTCAAGTGAGTGCATGTTAGTGTCCTATGCCTAAAATTCTGTTTGGGTGTAGAAATAAATTACATACCTTATACCTGATTCACATTGTACATTGGTATCATTTTATTCCTTTTGGGGAAACCCCAGGTGTGAATTCTAATCCAAGCTGCACATAACCTTGTCCCTTGAGCACCAGGGTTGAGGTTTAATAAGATGAAGCATGTGAGAACAGAGAGCCTTGTCACTCCTCTCATTAGAGACCAGGCTCCCAAGATTGAACCATGAGTCTGGCTAGGAAAAGGAAGTGGGTGCAGAATCCTAGCCCCTGTGGGATCCAGCCATGGTTCTTCTATGTGAATCTCACTGGGGACACTCCTCTTATAAGAGGATCATAGATTTTAAGTTGAAGGGACCTAAGAAGTCATCTAGTCCAACCACAATTTCCATAGGGAGGTGAAGTGACCAGTTCAAAGTTAATTCAGGTAGTATTTGTCAGGGTTGTTTCTGTGTCTCCAAGGTCAGACCTCTTTCTACTGTACCATACTATCTCCCATTATTCTTCTTCAAGATGACTTGCTCTTTGTCTTTTTCACTTGGTTAGTGTCATGGAGGGACTTGAGAGAGCAGTACCTTCCTAAGGTGGACTGGAAGTAAGCATTCCTCTAGGTACTGTACCCTCTGTCCTTACTTGACCCATCAATGCCCATAATGAGACCGCCTTTTCTTCTGCTGGGGGGTTGGAAGGGGAATGACTTCAACGCACAATGATAGAGGGGCTCTGATAATTGCCATGTCTAGGCTCATGACTGAGCAGAGCTAAGCACAGTGATAGTGGTGGGCCCTGAAGGGAGGGCAGAAGCCAATCTCTTGTAAGGCTTCCTTTTTTTCTCTTCCTCTCCCACCCCCCAGTTCTCTGGGGAAGAAGAAGGGGGAATTCTTCTGTACATGAGTGTGGAAGGCAAGCCCCACCCTCAGTGTGTGGTCCCAAGATATTTTCTCTTCATCCAGAGTGAAAAAAATAGATACATTTTATTCTGAGTAGAAGTTTCCAAAAATATTCATCTGTGGTAGAAGCAAGGGGAGGAGACACCAGGAATCCAGGAGTCACTGGCTTCCAAGGCAATTTAGACAGGAAACTAAACTTGGTAAGAAGGAATAGGTTCTTGGCTAGAAGAAAGGAAAGGCTGTGCAGGGCAGGGTCAAGATGAGCCCTAATCCCCTGGGGACACTGAGGGAACTGAGCCTTGGAAGGTGGTTGGCAGCAGTTTGCTGGATGGTAGGCCACAAAGAGGTTGGATGAAAGGAGAAAATATGTATAAAATGCTTTGAAAAACTTAAAGAGCTGGAACAGTGCAAAAAGTACTAGGCTGGGAGTCAGAGGACCTGAGTTCAAATTCTAACCCTGATGATTACTGCCTATATGATTTTGGGCAAGTCACTGATGCTTCCTGGGCCTCAGTTTCCTCATCTGAAAATAAGGGGATGGACTAGAAGACCTTTGAGTTCCCTTCTAGCTCTGCATCCAGGAGCCCATGATTATTACTATTTGCCAACTCTTGCCATAAAATTCGGGCTGGACTGGCCTAGCTCTCTCGAGGGTCATTCACCACTCCCCTCTTCACCCTGGGGAGAAAAGTATTGGGGTGAGCAGAAGTGTCAGCATATGAGAAGATGCTCTACCTATGGGAAGATGACCAATGGGAGAGGTGCAGGGCTGATTTTCCCCAACAGCAGTCTGAGAATTTCAGCTGGATCCATGCCTCATACCCCTTAAACAATCCACTTTATTTTAAAGCAACTGATAATTCCCCAGCATTTTTACAGCAAGCTAGAATACTGAAGGACGGAAGGACAAGAGATGGCCCCAGAGGGATCACTGATTTAGAAGAGGAGGGATCTTAACAGCCATTTAATTCAACCTCCTTATTTTACAGATGAGGAAATCAAGACCCAAAGAGAGCAAGTGACTTGTCCAAGGTCACAAGGTAATATGTGGCAGGGCTGAGATTTAAACCCAGGTTCTCTGATTTCAAATCCATCCAGCTTTGTTTGGCCATGGAATCCATTACCAGCTTGATCTCTGTTAGGGGATGGGCTGTGAGTGGAGGACTCCTGATGGAAGAGAGAGGGCTACATCAGTGGAAGAGGGAGTGGGAGGGGCTCACATGCTGGTTCCCTCTTCTGGTGAAATGGGATTGAAGCCATTGACAGGCAAAGAAGCAGAGCTAGGCTTGACGACAAACGGGCCACCGCTGGTAGTTGGTCTGCAAACAGGCCTGTTATTGGTGTTGGACATATCTGCAGTTGAGAATGGGGAGTGCTGGAGAGTTCCTGAAGTCAGCCTGGGATGCAAAGTGAGCTGCTGCAGAACATCAGCTGTCATGCTGGTTCTGGGGCGTGAGGCTGCAATGGAACAGAAGATTTCCTCAGCCCTGGCCCTAAGCCCCTTACCTTTCTCCAAAGCATTTCCACATACATTTGCTCAGCTGATCATCACAATATCTCTGTGAGGCCAGTGGAACATATTATTATCTCCTTTCAATCAAGGAAGACCCTGAGGGCCAGAAAGAATGGTTGGCTTGTCCAGGGAACCTGATTAGCTGGAGTCATGCAGAGGGTTTGACGCCACTGGCCTAGATCATTGAAAGCTTAAGGATTTGCTACATCTCCTGATCTTTGAGCTGAAGTTCTTTCTGCTACCTCATGTGCCTTCCCCTGGGTCTCTGGGAAGCAGTCAGGAGTGGAAAAGTAAGGGCCACCTTGTACTGTGGTTAGAATTAGTCCTGTCCAAGTTTTGTTTGTTTTTGAGGCAATCAGGGTTAAGTAATTTTGCCCAGGGTCACACAGCTAGTAAGTGTCTGACCCTAGCTTTGGATTCAAATCTTCCTGACTCCAGGGCCAGTGCTCTATCCACTGCACCACCTAGCTGCCCCCTGCTCAAGTTTTCAAGAAGGATCTCATCCAACCTTACATTACAGGAAGATGGTACCAAGGACAGAGGAGAGGCTGAGGGTTTCTGGACTTTTTGCTATTAAATGAACCACAGGTAAATTGGTAATAATAATAATAGTAATAAATAATGCTTATATATGGCATTTTAAAGTTTACAAAGCACTCTACATACAGTATCTCATATGACTCTCGCAGTGACCCTTTTAAGGTAGATCCTATTATTTATCCTCATTTTACAGATGAGAAGACTGAGGCTGAGAAGTAGTTAAGTGATTTACTTAGGATCACGCAGCTACAAAGTGTCTGAGATAGAATTCAAACCAGGAATTCCGAATTCCAAGCCCAGAGCTCTATATACTACACCACCTAGCTGCACATAGGATAGGGAGATAGGGAGTGGACCTGTGATTTCACTGGTATAGGAAACTTCCTATTCAGGAAACTGTCTCTACCAATGCAGGTCAGAATCTTCTTTGGCAACATATAGTAGTAGGGAGTAGCCTAGAACAGAAGTATCAAACACACATCCTTCCAGGCAAGGCCAAGGGGCCCATCCAGATTAAAATATAATCGGGAAACATTTAACACAATGAACAAAAGTACAGTAGAATGTAGATGATGTTAATATGTAGTTTTCTAAGTCAGTATGCCTCCCGCAAGGATCCTTACATAGGATGTTGTGGCCTCGGTTTCTATTTGAGTTTGACACCACTGGCTTAGGTCATTGAAAGGTTGTGATTTGCTTGGGGTTAGGAGGTCAGTGTGTGTATCCCAGGGGGGGACATGAAGCCCAGTCTCTTTGACTCTTAGGTCAACTCTCTACTATACATACACTGTTGCTTGATGTGGTTGTGTTTCTGTCATATCCGAGACTTCATGACCCCATTTGGGGTTTTCTTGGCAGAGATCCTAGACTGGTTTGCCATTTCCATCTTCAGCTCATTTTACAGATGAGGAAACTGAGGCAAGTAGGGTTAAATGACTTGCTTAGGGTCATACAGCTAGTACATGTCTGAGGCCATATTTGAACTCGAGAAGATGAGTCTTCTTGATACCAGGCTGGGTGCTCTTATCTACTTTGCTACCTCGCTGCCCTGCCACCTCTCATAACACATGAGAAAATAAACTCAGTATCATTTTCCACTGTGGATAATATGCCTTTCAAGCACTTCGGCCCCTGCCCCTAGGCCGCTTGTGCCCCTCTTCCAGCCTCTTCTCTCTTAGGTTTATACGCAGATGAAGGGGAGAATCATGGGTACTAATGGGACAGGTGAGATTGTTTAGAATGTCCAGAATAAGAATGGGAATGGCCCTTTTTTAGGGGACAGTGAGGCAGGGAACCTGGGAGATCTACTTATTGTATTCTTCAGCACCCCAAGACTGTCCTAGAATTATGTCCCCATAGGGAGACTAGATTCAGGGAGACATTCTCTGCTCCTTCCAATGTGATAGAAGATAGTTCCTCCTCTATGGGGAGGAGGTTGGGCAAAGCCTTCTTTGGTAGGATGAGAACAGGAGAGGCCAGAAATTCAAAGGAAGCCCTCTGGACAAGAGGTGTAGTGAGGAATTGATTTGGAACTAGGAAGAACTGATGAGTACAGAGATTGAATCCAGGGATTGGGGCCCCAGGAGAGAGGGATTAGGTGAAGACTCACCAGGGTAGATGGTACCAGAGATACTGGAACGTATTCGCTCACATCCACTGCGGGATGGTGGGGGCCTTGGGATCTTTAATCCTAAGGGGAGTGAAGGAAGGGGTGAGCAAATGGGAGTTTATTGAAGTTTCTTTCAGATTTCTTGCGCCTGTGAAGCCCCCCGCCCCCAGATCCCCTCTCCCACCCTCAGGGCTGTGGCTTATGCCAATATTTCACAAAGCCTTATATTCTTTGTCGCATCTACATTATCTAGTACCAGGCTGAGGATCAACTGGGGGCTTCAATGACTAAAGGAATCAACCAATGAATTTCGGTTCTGGTTTGCGTTGGGGGTATTGGTGATTGCCTACTCTCCAACTGAGATGGAGCTAGCCATGGGCTACCACTGAATGGGACAAACCTTAGCTGCCACCATAGTGACACAACTTGAAAATCTGTCCGAGGAAGCTCCTCCAACAAGGGTGTCCCAAAAATCTCTTATGCTTTAGTAGATTAAAAGCTTATGAAAATTTTAATAGCTTAAAACTCATTAAGACTTTTGGGACACCCTCTATATATACCCTGGAATGGTTGTGTATATGGAGGAAGAGAGTTTTGCCATCTCTACACTCACAGGATCATAGATTTAATGTTGGAAAGGATCTTAAAGGATATTTAGTCCATCCCACTCATTTTACAAATCAAATTTTTGGGAGTGACCCGGAGAAGTTAAATGACATGCTGAAATGTAAGGGTTGGACTAATGGCCTTAAAGGTCCCCTCCAGCTCTCAATCCTACAATCCTAAGTAGCAGAGGCTGCAATTCAAACCTAGGACCTCAAAATCCAAACCCAGGTGTCTCTATCTACTGTACTGCGTATCAGTCAACCCTGATGTGCTCTTCCTGAGGCTTGGGTCCCTGGCAAGCTGGAAAGGATTTCTAATTCTGAAAGGTGTTGGCACCCCAGTATTGTACTCAAGGCGGCTGCTTTACCCTAAAAATGATATTTGATATTTAGACAACGCTTTAAGGTCTTCAAAGCACTTTACATCTTATTTGACCATCACTGTCACTCCATTCACAAGTGAGAAAACAAAGGCTGAGAGAAATTAAAGAGATTTGTCTAGGGTCAAACAGATGGAAATGGCAGATATAGGTCTTTGAACCCAGATCTCTCTAAGTTTCAGCCCCGTGCTCTCTCTACTATGGCATGTTATCTCTTTATTTTAAATATTTTCATTGTTATCTTCCATATTTATATTATCTTCATTTCTTAATATGTGCCTTCCCCCTCTCCACTCCCACAAGTCATCCTTTCTAATAAAGAATAAATAAATAAATAAATTCAGCACAACAAATCCACACATCAATTGAATCTAATAGCCTATGTAATGTTTTACACCCACAGTCCTCCACCTCTGCTCTGTAGGGCCAAGCTTGGTTGAAATTATACCAATGTTGCTTCTTTGATAATGCCACTGATCAGGGGGCTCTAGATGGAAGGACCTATGCCAGGTTATTTCCTTATTCCAGATACCAGAGCTAACTAGATTGTTTGGGGCCAGAAGCCCCAAAAGTACATGAGGGAAAAGGAAGGTAAGGTTCTCAGGGGGTGGTATATCTGAACCCTAAGTCCCCGCTCAAACCTGTCACAAGTCATACCTGCCAGGTCCTTCTCAGTAATAATGGAATGTGGAGCACCATGAGAGGCCATCCTGCCTTTGTACATGACCCCATCCACTCCCAGAATGTTCACTTCACTCTGAGGAGACAGAGACAGCCCAACCCAGCCCCCAGGTTATAACTCAATCCCTTTAGGGGAAGAGGGGAAGGGGATGATTCCCTTGCTATATTCCTTTCACTTTCAAAGGCTGCTCAGCTTTCCCTTTCCCAGAGGCATATTACTCCCAATTTCAACTTGTTTTGTCCTCCTCTACTACTCAAAGTCCCGGTTCCTTTACAGGCTCTGGAGTAGAGCCTTCTCCCCATCTCCCCACTAAGGCCTGGGATGAGTCTAAGCACAGGAGGAGAGAGAGTCTAAGCCACCACCCTGCCTCATCCTGACCCCGGGATCCTAAACAGAAACCCCCTCATCTGGAACTTGATGAACCAGAAGCAGGCTGCACTCACATTCTCAGGAAACACAGATGGATCCCCATATGGATAAAGGGTGGTGAGGTTCGGTATCTTCATGATTGGCCTCAGGCTAGAATTGTTATCCCAATATGACTGACCATCTCTGGGCACGTTGGCTTGTTCGGGGAGGTTGGTCATTCCCTGTATAGGTTGCAGGTGTTGTACTCGTTGCTGTTCTCTAGGAAAAGATGGCTGACGTGAGGAGGGGACCAACCTCCTTCCCAGCTCAGACTGAGCCTCAAGAAGCCAGGTTGGGTCCTGAAGCATCAGGCAGCCTGGCATGGGAAGGGCTGGTAGAGCCATGGAGAGCAGGACCACTCAGGCTAGTGGCTCAGGATATGTAAGAAAATTCTTAGACTGGGCCTATGAAAGCCTCCGGGAGAGCAGTAATCTGACTAAAACTGGAAAGGTATGCTCTTCTTCAGGTGCAGCTCTCAGTCTTTGGCAACATCTTCATCAGGGTTACTGTAGGAAAGGATGCCTTTTAGTAGTGATGGTGATGTTGGTGGTGGGGTGTTGGTGGAGAGCCTCTCATATCCCAGGTTTGGACTCTCTATGCTTTTTCTTAGCCACCATGGCATATTAGAAAAAGCACTGCACTTGTAATCAGAAGACATGGGTCTGAATTCTGGTTCTGACACTTACTAGTTGTGTGACCATGGACAAGTCACTTAAACTCAGTTTTCTCATCTGTAAAATAGAGATAATAATACTTGTACTACATAGCTGACAGAACAGTTGTGAGGAAAGTCTTTTTGCCAACTGTAAAGAGCTATATAAATGTGAGTGATTATATCATCATCAATGTCTTATTATCATACAGAGATTGGTGGGAGAAGGGAAGCTGGGGACCTACAAGGTGAGAAAGGAGGAAGGGAAAGTAGAGAGTGGTAGGGGTTAATGGTGGTTCAGATAGTTGTAGTATCTTCTCTAGTTGGGAATCAGGAATGGATCAGTGAGCTTAGTTGGGTAAGTAAAGTACTGTTGAGGTTGGAGTTTGAGTCTCAGTGGAGGAAAACCAGATATTCTGTGGTTACAAGCTGTACCCTCATCACTGATTGACTGTTTCACAAAGCTGTCTCACATATGAACATACTCGGTCACAATGGGGACCAAACCAGAGGGTATAGATGACTCAGTTCGAACCACAAGTCCACTGCTGTTCAATTCAATTTTAAAAGGATGAATTCAGTCCCTATTGTGCTATGCTAGATACTTGGGGAGAGACATAATTTAGTTAAGACATGGTCTCTGCCCTCATGGAGCTTGAAGTCTACTAGGCGAATGAGAAACATATGACAGATATCTAGAATACACAATAATATATGCCAAATATATTAGATTGAAACAAAGCACTATATGTTGCTGAACAAGTTATGGTAAATGAATGTGATGGAATAATGCTGTGCTATAAGAAATGATGAAGGGGAGGGTTTCAGTGGGGAGACTTGTATGAACTGATGCAGACTGAAATGAACAGAACCAGGAGAACAATTTATACAGTAATAACAATACAGTAAATACAAATAGCTATGAAAGACTTAGGAACTTTGATCATGCAATGGCCAGTTATGATTTCAGATGTCCCAGGATGAAATAGGCTACTCACTTCCCAATAGAGAGGGGATGGACCCAGAGCAGAGATTAAAACATATATTATATGTATACACACACACACACACACACATACACAAACATATAAAGAAGATGAACAAGTTGGGAATTTGTTTTGCTTTACTATACACTTTTGTAACAAGAGTTTGTTTTTAAGTCTCTTAAACTCTCCCATCTTGTTTTCACAACTGTCAACTGTGTAGGGAGTTAATACTTGAAAAATCTATTTCACAAGGTTGTTGTGAGTTAAAGTAGGTAAGATATTTATGTAAATGAAAACATAAAATACTAAATAAATGTCAGCAGCTGTAAAGAGAAAGAAAAAAAGAGTTTGATTTTTTTTCTTTCTTTCTCAATGGGGGCGGGGGGAAGGGAGAGAAGGTAGATTATCATTGACTGAAAGAAATAACACTTAATTTAAAAAAAGAGTTAGGGGAGAAAGCACTCCACAAGAAATGAGGAGGTCAGAGAAGGCTTCCCTGAGAGAGAAGGTAGATAGATTTCCAATGATCAAAAGAAATAAAATTTAATTAGAAAAAAAAAGGTGGGGGAAGCACTATACAAGAATTAAGGAAGTCAGGGAAGGCTTCCCAAAGGAGAGAGCATTTGCTTTATGCTTTCAAGGTTGGGTTGGAATTCAACAAGCAGACATTCTAGGTATTTGAAACAGAATGAACAAAAGCAGGGAGGAAAGAAAGTGCAGAATACAAGTATATATATATACACACATACACACACACACACACACACACATACCGTACTTTACTGCATAATTGTTGCCACCGCATAATCATCGCACCCTGTTTTTTCAGTCCAAAAATTGGTTTATAACCTTTCATTGTGTAATTGTTGCATGGTATAATTCTGCTCGTCACGCCTCTTAAAAGATAAACAGAGAAGCAATGGATTTACCAGTGGCATATGGATATGCATTAATCTCTTGCACATTGTGAGCCACATGCCTACAATTCTCAACACATCCATTGTCAGTATTCAATTTTCACGTATGTATTCACAAGTATTCCATGCATCCCAATTTTGCACCAAAGACAGGTTAGTAATAAATGATTTTTAAGTAATACTGGCACAAATGTTTAAAGTTTCACATAATGGTCTCACCCCCTTTTGAATAAATCTGCAACAATTATGTGGTGAAATGCTCATATTATTGTTTTCTTTGTTTTTTAGGGAGGCAATCAGGGTTAAGTGACTTGCCCAGGGTCACACAGCCCAGGGTCTGAGGCCACATTTGAACTCAGGTCCTTCTGACTCTAGGGCCAGTGAACTACACCACTTAGTTGTCCTTCATGCAGAATATATTTATGAGACAGACAGGAGCTCTTGGTTTACTCAGGACAGAGTGTGTGAGAAGCAGTAAGATGAAAGAACACTGCAAAGGTAGGATGCTGCCAGATTGTAGAGAGCCCAGAACATTAGGCAAAAGAGACCAAAATTTGCTTTGTAGGCAATAGGAAATCAGTGGAATTTTTTGAGCAGAGAGGAAAAAGAAAAAGAGTGCATCAGAGTGGAAGGAATAGTGGGGTATGAAGTCAGAGATCCTAACACTGAGTCATGGCTCTGCCATTTACTATCTGTGATCTTGGGCAAGTAACTTAACATCTCTCAGCCACATTTCCTCATCTGTCAAATCTACAATTCTGAGAGTCTGAGCTAGGGTGGTGTAGAAATAAAGAGAGAGAGACATTTATAAGTGATATGGTAGAGGTTGTTTTGTAAAGGACTGGATGTGAGAGATGAGCAACAAGGAAGCATCAGAGAGAATTCCAGATCTCAGAACTTGAGACTGATGTAACTGGAAGAAATAGTGAGGTCATGAAGGGGGAGAAAGTTTAGGGGGGAAAACAGTCATAAGTTCAGTTTTGGAAAAATTCGAAATCCAAATAGAACTGTGCTGGAAGCTGTTGGTGGTGTGAGTATGGAGCTCAGAAAAGGGCTGAAAATAGAGAGTTGAGGCATTCTGTGTAAATGAGATCCCAAGGAAGAAAATGTTGAGAAGGAAGAAAGTTAAGGACAAAATCTTGGGTAACACACCTTAAAATGGCAGAGGAAAGGATGAGGAGTCAGCAAATGACAGCATGATGGAGTAAAAAAAGGCATTGGAATTAGCACAAGGGGCCCTGGGTTCAAATTCCAACTTTGCCATTTACAACCTGTGCAACCTCAGGCAAGTCAATGGACTTTTTTGGGCCTCAGTTTCCTCATCTGTAAAATGAAAGACTTGAAGAGGATGATCTCTAATGTCCCTTCTAGTTCTAAACTTAAGATCCTAAGGAGACAGAAGTGTGTTTAAAGGGTCAGAGGAGATCAGCAAAGGGGTGCTACAGAACAAGACATACATGTTTAGACCCAGCCAACGTGCAAATTTGTTTTACTTGGCTATACTTTTTTTTTTGTTACCAGGGAGGGCTTCTATTTGTGGGGGAAGAATAAGAGGAAAGTTTTGAGTGTTTATAATACAAAAAAGGAATGAAGAGTGTCAATCAATTTTTTTTTAAATACAAGAAAAGAGGGAAGGTCAGACAAGTAGTATAGCATTGGTATTATTGTGCTAAATTTAATACTCTAAAAAGCCAAGCTGTACATAATAGAGAGAGATTCATGGTTGCCTATCTCTTTTTTTTATTGTTCTTTGTATATGGTAATGTTCATGCTTGTTAAGTTTATAATAACAATTAAAAAAGAAGTAGGAGGAAGAAAAGAAAAGTGAGGTGTTACTGAAGTTAAAGTGGAGAGAATATCCTGTAGGAGGGAGGTGACTGACAGTGTTAAATGCTGCAAAGAGGTCAAGGAGGATGAAGACTAAACAGAAATTTGGTGATTGGGTAGCTAATGTTGACCTTCCAGAGGGCAGCTTCATTAGAGTGGTGGAGGTGGAAACAGATTGTCTGGGGTTTGGCATGTTCAAACAAGTCAAAGTATGTTTCCTTCTGAGACAGAAATCACAGTGTTATTGTTATCGAACTATGTTCCAGCAGGGTCAGTCTGTCTCCACCCAACTGGTGAAAAATTCCAGCAGTGCCAGGCCACTGGATGGGACTTTGGGTCCTTAGTGATTTTTGTCTCTTGCAATATTGCTGGAGTTGGAGGCAGAAGTCAGTGTTCAGCCTCCGCTGTTCACTTATTCACTCATACCGTTTCCCCCTCTCCCCTCTCCCCAGTCTTCCCCCTTACTTCAAAAACATAGGCTTCTGCATAATTTGTGAGGCACATACCTTCTGGGGATAGGTCAACCCTGAGTCCCAGTGGCTGACTGTGACTGCATAGGGACGGTGTTCCCCATAAATTCTGTAGAGTGGAATTAGGTATACAGGATTCTTCTGGGGGTGACTCATTAGAAGGGAAGAGTAAGGCCTTAGGACCCAACAAGTCCTTTCTATGTCCCAGAGCTCTGGGGAAATTTGGGATGTGGTTTCCCAGGCCCCATTACCACTCACCTTAACTTCAGCGGTTGGAGATATTCATAGCTGTTTGCACTGACTGGTCTGGCATAGGGGTACAAGTTTTTTTTCTGGATACTAATCAACTGCCTGTTAAAGAGGAGTACAGAAAAATAAATGGGAATTCCCAGAAAAACACCATTACCTATATTATTAAGGGAGAGAGATGGGGAGGGGGAGAATACAGTTGGAAGCCCATCTTCTCAATGAAGATTTCATAGATTAGAAGGGAGGAGGTAATAAATATAATCAGATCTGATTAGATTTTTATACTTCTCTCCAACTTGACATGTCCATTTGATGAGTAACCAAAAGTCTTATTGAAAGCTTTACCTGAACAAGCTCACTCTGTGCTATGAGTAGGGGCAGCTTAGGTGGTATGGTGGATAGAGCATTGAGCTTGGAAGCAGGAAAACTCATCTTCATGAGTTCAAATCTGGCCTCAGACACTTACTAGCTGTGTGACCCTGACCCTGGGCAAGTCACTCAATTGTATTTGCCTCAGTTTCCTCATTTGTAAAATGTGCTGGAGAAGGAAATGGCACTCCTAGTATCTCTGCCAAGAAAACCCCAAATGTGGTCACAAAGAGTTGGACGTGACCGAAAAACGACTGAACAGCAACAAAAAAATGAGGACAGGGAGCCTGTATTTTTTTCTATCTTTTATGCTAACCCTAACACTAAAAATCATTCAGTGGGCATGACCTTGAATGGTTCACTGGAAAGAGCAGGGAACCAGAAGCTGAAAGACCTGGGTATGGTTTCAGCTCTGTCACTAATTAGCTGAGTGACCTTGAGGCAAGGCCTTAATTTAACTTCTCTGGAACTGGGTTTCCTCAGTTCATCAGATGATCATTTCTGTTGGACCTAACTCAGGGCACTGGAATGAGAATCAGGTTCTTTGCTAGTAAGTAAAAAGTGCCTTACAAAAGCAAGGTATTCAAGGTATGCCTTGAAGGAAAAGGTGTCTAGGAGTCAGAGAGGAGAGAAAACTATGTGAAATGGTGCCCCCTGGTGGGAATGAATTTTTCATGAAGGAGTTGTGATTCCCAAACTAACTGGGCCAAGGAACATGTTTGAGCTTGAAATCTATTGACAAAACAAATATGTTTCTGGAGGTCTGAAGGGTGGGAAATAACCCAGGGATTAAGGGGGAGAGGGTCTGGTCAATATTGGTGTAAAAAAGGAAGTTGAAGTTTATTTTTATAGGGCAAAAAAGGTAACATTTTAGGTATATTTAATTTCCTATTTGATATTTTGAATTGGAAAATAGTGCTAGTAAAGGCACTTTCTCACAGAACCCCTATTCACATTACATGGAACATCAGGGCTTTATGGAACATAGTTGGAAATACTGAGTTGCAGCAAACCTTGGAAGGTGGTACTCACGGGCTTGTCATCATTTCCACAGGCCGGTCACAAGAGATGCATTTTACCCGCTCAAAGAGTTGCCTGAAATAGATCACACACACCCCAAGTCCAGAAAGTTGTGATCAACTTCCCAAACACACTAATAAAGGTATGGTTGGGAGGAGGGGTTCGTGGTTGTTCTTCGGGGTCCCCCTAAGAGATGGCTATGTTATAGGTTATACAGACCTAAAGAACCCACAAGGAAGTTCTGATTTGGATCTAAAGATCAAAAGGTACCCTAATGCCCTTGATATTGTCCTCTGGCTACTGCATGTTAAGGGAGTTAGGCAAGGCACTGAATCTACCTTTCCTTCATCAAAACTTAAAAATCCCTGCCTCACTACACTTGAATATGTGGGCCAGTCAGCTAGTACTGACAGAGTACTGTAGTCAGTGCTAACTTGTGTAAGTGAGTTAAGTATGTTCACTTCTACCTATCCTCTCCAACCCATACACCAGGCATCGTGCCAAGTGCTGAAGACACAATGAAAGGCAAAAGACAGTTCCTGATCTCAAGGAGCTCACGATCTAATGGGGTAGACGATACACAAATGACATGTATAAACAAACTATATATAGGATAAACTAGAAATAATAAACCGAGGGAAGGCACTAGGACTAAGAGGATGGAGAAAGACTTCCTGTAGAAGGCGGGATTTTAGCTGGAGCTCAAAGAAAGGCAAGAGGAAGAGATGAAGAGAGACCCAGGTATAGGGGCCAGATGGTGAAAATACCCAGAGCAGTGAAATGGACTGTGTTGTTTGAGGAGTATCAAGAAAAGAACATAGGTGGATTTCAACAAGGATCTTCTGGACACAAGATACCTTCATCCTGAGGAATGACCCTAATGCCTGGCTGGAGACAGAGGCAAAACGTGGTGGCAAAGGAACTGTGCATGTGGCCAAGCATTCTTCCTACCCTGCTAGGGACCCCGCCCTTTCCCCTGTAGTATCCTCACCTTCTTCTTTTATTCCTCTGCCCCCCTCTCAATCTTCAAACCTAATCTGGGGAAGAACTCAGGATCAGGAGGATCTGGGACCGTCTTTTCCAAAAAGACCTAAGATACAACCACTTCTTGGCAATAGGAGAGCTTGAGGAAGGGAAGACTAATAGTGGAAGGGGAGCTAGAGAACTTTGGAAGCTCACTTCTTAAAGCCAGCTGCACTGTCTGCATCAAAGCGAGGGCCCTCACTCAGGTGCTTTTTTACAAATTTCCAGATATGCTCCATCTGTTTCTTCATAGGATCTAGGTCCACGTGGCCCAGCTGTGAGAGGATAATGGCAGGAACAGAGATTTAGCTTTGGATGTTTGAACTTAATGGTAGTTATTTCATTGATAAATGTTTTTCAATTACATCTCCTACCAGGGGTGGGGAACCTTCGGCCTCAAGGCCACATGTAGCCCTCCAGGTCCTCAAGTTCGGCTCTTTGGCTGAATCCAAACTTCACAGAACAAATCCCCTTAATAAAAGGATTTGTTCTGTGAAGTTTGGATTCAGTCAGAGGGCCACACTTGAAGACCTAGAGGGCCACATGCAGCCTCAAGGCCACAGGTTCCCCACCCCTGTGATCTAGACTGTAACCTCTTTGAGGCTAGGAACTCCTTTACACAAATATTTTTATCACATACTTCATTCATTTTGTATTCATTTATTTATTCACTTAACAAACATTCATTGTTCAATGCCTACTATATACAAAAGGCATTGAAGATTTATGGTTTCTACTGTGTATATGAAAATGTTTGTTTTATTAGGTGTTTGTTAAGTTTAGAATAAAAAAAATTAATAATAGTTGGTATTTATATAGGAATTTAAGGTTTGCAAAGTGTATCCCATACAGTATTTCCATTATTTCACTGGATCCTTGTGATAACCTGGTGAGGTAAGCACTACGGGTATTATTATCTCTTGGACGTGGTGCCCACTCTGAAGGGGCTTACAGTCTGGTAGGGGAGATGAGATGTGCACTCAACCTTGATACAAAAAGTAACAGGATACTAGAGGTACAAAGTGCTGAAGGAATGCCTAGGATCACAAGATTTAGAGCTGGAAGGTACTTTAGAGGTCACTAAGTCCATCCATCCATGCAGATAAAGAAACTAAGACCCAGAGACGTTAAATGATTGGCCCAGGATCTTCACAGCTAGGAAGTACCTGAGATCACATGTGAACTCGCCATCCTGACTCAAGGCCTAGCCTTTACCCAGAATACCATGCTGCCTGAGGCACTGGGGAAGGAATCATAAAGGATAAAGTACAAGCTTTGGTTGAGGAAAAAGGAGGGTTTTTAAATGGTGACAGGGCATGGGAGGGTATTCTAGGCATAGGGAATGCTACTAGCAAAGGCAAAAAGTCAGGAAAGAGGAGGCAGTCAATAATTTAGTTGGGTTGGACAGGCAGTAGAGTAAGATAAAGGTGCAAGGCTAGACTGGTGTCAGATTATGCGGGGCCTTCCGTGTCCATCCAAGGAGTGTTTCTCCCTTGGCCTAGTCCAGTGCTCAGGACATAGTAGTCCTCATTAAACCATTTGAACTAATTTAAATTCTGTCCCTGTTTAAGATTCTTGGACCTGGACATATTTCTTATTGGCAGCCTGCTGTAGTGAGAGCTAAAAAGCTTCCCACTAAATTCTCTACACCCCCCCCCCCACTGCCCCTTTCATTTGAGTAACTAAGTAACAGCAGCCTTGCGTCCCTGCCAGACATAACAGATGGGGCTTGCCTCAGACATGCTACATCCAAGCAGGTACAGAAGGCGGAAAAGCAAGGACATTGCTAAACAAATGCTTGGAAAGTTAAGAAGAATACTTCCCCTCTCCTTCCCCATGCCAGCCCAGCACAGTACACATTCTTATTAGTTGTCCTATTGAATGACCTGGGGAATAAAAGGGGACTGGAGGGGGACTGAGCAGGTTCTGGCTGGTGCCAGTGCCAAGGAGGGAGCCTCAGGGGTCCCTGAAAAACTCCTCTGCCAAGCTTTCTCTTACAGAGCTATTCAGGGATTCCTTCTCCAGTCCTGACTGTGACAAATATCCCATTTGTGCACAGGGCCTGGATTCATGATTCAATTAATCAACAAGCATTTATTAAGCATCTACTGTGTTCCAGGAACTTCCATAAACACTGGGGACACAAAGACAAAAATGAGTCTTTCTTAGATTGTATTTTGCCCTTTTGAGGATTAAATACACTCACATACACAGAATAAAGTAGATAGAGTGCTAAGCCTAGAGTCAGGAAGTCCTGAGTTCAAGTCCAGCCTCAAACACTTATTAGTTGTTCTGTTGTTATTGTTTTTCAGTTGTTTCAGTCATGTCTGACTCTTCCCATTTGGGGTTTTCTTGGCAAAGATACCAGAGTAGTTTCCCATTTCCTTCTCCAACTCATTTTACAGATGAGGAAACTGAAGCAAACAGGGTTAAGTGACTTGCCCAGGGTCACACAGCTAGTAAATGTCTCAGGCCAGATTTGAACTCAGAAAAATGAGTTTGCCTGACTCTAAGGCCTGGCACTCTATCCACTTCTCCACCTTTATTAGATGTGTGGCCCTGGGCAAGTCACTACATCTTTTTGCTTCAGTTTCCTCATCTGTAAAATGAGGATAATAATCAGCACCTATTTCCCAAGGTTATTGTGAGGACCAAATGAGTTAATGATTGTAAAAGGCTTAGCACAGTGCTTGGCACACAGTTAACACTATATAAATGTCAGCTATTATTGTTGTTAAATATACATGTATTTATAATTCTTGCTTTTATTTCATATTACATTTCAGCCTGGTTTGCATTCATTTTTCCTCTTCTCCTCACCTCCTATAAGGGAGGAGAGGCTATAAACCAATTCATGCTAAGATATTAGGGACTGACTCCAATACCCTTCCTAGGAATTATCTATCTCTATTTAAAGAAAGACTGAGGACAAAGAGCAAAGCTTAACTCAAAAGGATCGTTGGTAGTCAGATGTCATGCACCTGGGCAAGGCATTAATTTGGCATGTGACTCAGAGGAAGTCATTTGAATTCAACAGACATTTATCAAATGCCCTTTATCTGCTAGGGCCTCTGCTAGGCTCTAAGGATACAATGACAGATCATTCCTGGCCTCCAAATAGCTTACACTCCCAATGGGGTAGCAAAGGAAAGTCCAAACAAAGTCATTTGAAGGAGGAAGAAGTGTGTGCTATGGGAGTTGCAAAGGAAAGAACATTCTCAAAATGAAAAGTTGAATCAGGGAGGTCTTCACAGAAGAGATAGCAATGTAGCTGAGCCTTGAAAAAAGACCAGGCGTCTGAGGGGTGATGGACACTGCAGATATGGTGGGCAGTCTGCCACTGTGGGAGCCAACATGAAGGTCAAATTTAGAGAACTGCTTTGTGGTCTCACTTAGTTGGAACTTAAAGTGGATAAAGGGGACTAAGGAACATGAAATTACTATGGAAAGGTAAGGAGGAGCCAGACTTGGAGGGCCTTTAGACGCCAGGCTGAGAGGTTTGTGTTTTCTCCCCAGGATGATAGGGAGTCATTGGAGATTTTTGAGAAAGGGAGGAGAAAAACTTCTCCAGCATCTTCTGCCCAGTCGTGTTCATTTGTTGACATCTTCTGCTCCACATCCACAATATATCATTTAGCTGAACTATTGCAAGCTTCATTTCTTTTTCTTTTCTTTTTTTTTTGTTAAGGCAATTGGGGTTAAGTGACTTGCCCAGGGTCACACAGCTAGTAAGTGTCAAGTGTTTGGTCTGAAGTCAAATTTGAACTCAGGTCCTCCTGACTCCAGGGCCCATGCTCCATCCACTGTGCTGCCTAGCTGCCCCCAAGCTTCATTTCTCTGGGCTTCATTTTCCTCATCTGTCAGATGATCAAGTCAGACTGGATGACTTCTAAGGCCCTCTCCAGCTATAAAATGGGGCAGGGTGGGGGTGGGTCATAACTCATAGAACTTCAGAATCAGAAAGGACCTGAACTAGGCCAATTCTCTCCGTTTGCAGATGAGGAAAATGAAGCAGAGATGACATTATTTATGAGAGGTCATACAACTAGTCAGTAGCAAAGCCCGTGCTCAAATCCAGTTCTATTGCTCCTAGTCAATCAATAAGCATTTATTAAGCTCCTACTATGTGCCAGTCACTGTGCTAAGCGCTGGGTATACAAAGTAACAGTCCCTGTTCTCCAGGAGCTCACACTCTAATGGGAGACAATATGCACGAACAGGATATATACGGGATAAATTGGAGATAATTTCAATTGGAAGGCACTAGTATTAAGTGGTATCTGTGTTCTTTTCACTGTGCCTACTGTTACGACTGAGCCTACAATTTGGGTTCTCCCTGCTTTTATGGCTGTTATAACACTCTAACCAGCAGTAAATTTCAGCAGTAAATATTTAAGAACCTGCTTGGGAGGTGGGGGTGGGGGAGGGTGTTCAAAACTTTTAAGTTTAATCTGCATTATTAATATTTTCTCTATCACTTTCTTATGTCTAGTCAATCAACAAAATAAATCAAGTCCTGATTTGCCAATTTTCAAGGTGCAAAGATGCTCACACACAAAAATTGAACAATCGGCTCTTCCCAGCCTGTTTGGGCTGGCTCCAACACATTCTTTAAGCCCTGATCCAATTTCTCCTACCGCCTCTGATGTTGCTATTAGCCTCCTGTAATTCCTGATATAAGTGCCTGATGAGGGGAGAGAATCCAGTTTTCCTGGCACATAGTTGGTTAGCTGCCTGGGAAAGGCACAATATCAGCTTCTCCTGGGGCTAAAACTAGAGGTCCTAGATGATATATACAGGGTTTGTTTGCCCACCCCCACCCCCACTCCCACCCGCCAAGGAAAAGTCCCTAACCTTGGAGTCCATATCAAGGAAAAGCTTCTCCAGCACCTTCTGCCAGTCCTGTTCATGGAGAGATATCTTCTGCAGCATGTCGTGCATCATGTCATGTAACTGAACTGTTGCGAACTCCAAGTCAGCCCGGCTTGCTTTGAAGGCCAGAGCACTCTTATCTGCTTTCTGGTGAGAGTGAAACGTCAGAGAGGTTGTGCAGTAGTGGAAAAGAGTGAAAGAAAGTTGTCTGCTTTGGCCCATTTACTAAGGCTAAAGGGATTGAACCATGTTTTCCAACTTGTTGCAGTTTGTGGGACACCTACAAACACTCTTAAAATACACTGAATTGCTTTTCTCACCCCATACCAGTCCAGCCATCTGTCTTTCTATATCCACCCCTTCCCTCTCAGGCTCAACATAGCACACACTGATACACTCATAGACATAAATAAACACATCCATACTTTTCTCTTCAGCATAATCCCTACCAAGTCCACCCTCCTAGTCACAAATTGGCAAAGTGTAGTGAGGAAACCTGAAAGTTAGGACATACTGCTTTTGGAGCCACCATAGTGTTACTCAAAAAGCAAAGGGGAAAAAAAAAACCCAAACCAGATCGCCTGTGCAAATTCAGAGAGCCATTAGGGGCCATGCAAATAGACCAGGCTATTTTGCTTAAAGCTAGTAGAGTAACGATATGTTTGATGAAAATCAAATCCCCTAAAATCAATTTGCCAAAAAACAGTTTGCATAATAATAAATTTATCTAGTGTTTCTAACATAAACATCACTTATCAAATTTATAGAATATTGTCTTGTCAAGCCACATATGGATCTATGTGATAAGACACTGCTTAGCCTCCTAAGCACTTTTGCTTCATTATTTTGTTTGTTTGTTTGTTTTGGTTAGGCAATGGGGTTAAGTGACGTGCCCAGGGTCACACAGCTAGTAAGTGTTATGTGTCTGAAGCCGGATTTGAACTCACATCCTCCTGAATCCAGGGCTGGTGCTCTATCCACTGGGCCACCTAGCTGCCCCCTCATTAATTGTGTTTTTTGAAACATCTTACTTGCTTTTGAATACTTTAAGGATTCTTGCACTTAAAAGCTGCTCAGAACATTATCAGCATGCAGAAAACTTGCACTAAAGCCACACCTAGCCCCTATCTGAATGAGACTGCCTGAAAGTGGTTTCTCTCACACAGAATTCCATGCCTGCCTACCTGACCTTGACTATATTTGTTGACTGTGATCCTGTTTAACCAGTTCTGACTGCCCCACTACGGCCCAATGCCAGCCTGATTATGCTCTGACTTTGTTTATGTCCTAGTTTTATCAGTTTATACCTCTTTGAACCGAACGTTAAGGATTGAGTAGAATTTCCTGCTTTGATATTTTTAATGTTTTAAAATTTTTTTTTTAGCTAAAAAGTCCATTAAGTGGTCAAAATTCAGGTGAAATTTAAAAGTATCAACGACCAAGCAGAAATGCTTTATTGCTCCTTTACCTCAAAACCAGGCATTTAATAAAGGCCACTAAAATACATCAACAATAATGCAAAAAAATACTCCAGGCTTCAGTGAAGTATCAGGTAAATGGTTTTAAGTAATCACTTTTAGGTAAATTGGTTATAGTACCCTTCTAGCTTCTTTCTCACAACTTTAGACCCTCAAGGCAAATAAAGTGAAGAGAAAGCCTGCTGCTCTTCAGTTGGGAAAGACTAGACTGGATTGCAGTGAAGTTAGACCTCTAGGCTTATTTCTGCTTCCCATGTCTTCGGGATCTGGGGATGGGAGATGGGACATTGAGATCCCTAACCTGAAGGAAGGGAAGTGGAAACAAAAAGAACTCAGACACAGCACTGTCTTTGCTCATTAGAGTAAACTCACTCCAAACCAAGGCTTCTTAGACTTTTTCCACTTGAGACCCCTTCGTACTTCTTAAACGGGGGTCTTGGGGTTGCTGGAACTACTTCCAACATTAACTTGCTAAAAAGGCAGATTAGTCCCAGAACAGATAGTATGTTAAAATAAACCTTCCATGAAGGAATGTATAGAATTAGTTTGCATTAGTTATGAATGATGTTTAAATCTACTCAAGGAAAAACAAAAACAAAAACCAAAATAACAAAAATAATTTTCTTCCAACCTTTCTATATTGGAGGAAAAAAAAAAGACAACCTACCCTCTATCTCCCATCTCCTGGATTTTATCATCATCCTATGTAAGACCCAGATAGTGTGGTTGCCTCTCTTTCTAGGTACAGTCCTCATGGTGTGGAGGTAGGGTAGGGTGGGCTTGGTGGGCAGAGTATCATCACCTGCTTACCTCTTTCATTTGTTCTTCCATCCGAGTTTTATCCACCTTTCTCATTTCTAGTTGTTTCACCACTATTTTAAGGCCCTAATTTCAAAGAAAAGAGCAGGTTATTCTTTTTGTGAAACTTTAGAGGGTCTGCTTATTAAAGATTTGGACTCAGAAGGCTCATGGTCCCCAGATCCCAAAAGCAAACCTAAAAGGGTAACAAATATGGAAGAAGAGCTACTTCCTGCCATGATTTTGCACAGAAAAAAACTCTCATAGAAACTCTAATCTCAGAGTGGTAAGTCAGCCCTGGCTACTGTCAAGGGAATGAGGGGCCTAGAGGGCATTCATTCATTCATTCATTCTGTAACATGGGAGATCCCCATGGAGTAGGCAATCTGGCTCCTTGCTAAAGGACAAGGGGACAAAATGGCTCCTGGTTGGCTTTGTTGGCCCTGTAAATGGGGAGAGGAGTAAGGGTGGGAAGGACTGTGTCAAAGATGATTGGTGACTAAGCCAGGAAGAATTGCCCATTCAGTAGGCTATACAAGAATCAAGGAGAAAGGCTCCTTTCTCTTTTTAAAAAAAAAATTTTTTTAAATTTTTTTTTCTTCTATATGCTTTTGAGTTGAAAATTTTTCTCCCTTTTCCTCCCCCGCACCCTCCCCAAGACGGTGCACAATCTGACATAGGCTTTACATTTACATACCCATTAAACATATTTTCACATTAGTGAAGTTGTAAGTAAAAATTAAAACCAATAGGAGGAACCATCAGAAAGATGAAACAAAACTCAACAGAAGGTAAAAATAAGTGATAGCGATTCGACTTCCATAGTTCTTTCTTTGGATGTGGACAGCATTTTCCATCCCGAGGCCTCTGGAGATGTCTTAGATCCTCATAATGCTGAGAAGGGTTCAGTTTAACATTCTTAGTCATTGTATAAAGTGGCTGTTATTGTGTACAAAGTCCTCTTGGTGGCTCCTTTCTCTTTTGAACACGCCTTTGGAGACTCTTCTAGCTCTCCATGTGGCTTCCAGCAAGGTTGGTGTTTCTTTCCCTCACCCCAGCATGGCAGCAACATGAGCCTCAGAAACATGTACTTGCCTAGGTAAGCCCTTATGACTGGACCCCCAAATTTCTAGCTGTCTCTTCTCTTTTATATTTCTTTCCCTGAGCCCAGGTCACTAAACAGCAATCCTGAGAAATGGACATTTCTGGCCAAGGAGGCAAGAGAGGTCAGAAGTTCTTCAGTCATTGTTGGCTGCCCAATGGGAAGTGTTTCCTGCAATTCTCTTGCTTCTTGGAGAGGTCCGACAAAGTTGTCTTTACCCCCCCAGGAGAGTTTAAAATAGTTCCACATCACCCATGACACTTAGTGGCCAATACTCTGACACAAGTTCCAGTCATAGCAACAAATCAGAAATTGCTGTATTATTTCAGAATTAAATAGAAGAGACCTGAGGGGCTGTCGTGATCAGTAGTGGCTCTGGATATGGACTATCTTTGGGTCATCCTCTGCCCAACAACCCCAAGTTTTCTGTTGCAGGCCTAGGGTTCTATTTGGATCCCCAAAGTCTAGACTTTCTAGAGGCTTTGGGCCTGAGGATGACCTCAGAGCTAATTTGTTGTCCCTAAGGAATTGTTGCTTAAGGGGACTGAACTTCCTGGAGACAATTTGGACCAGCTTTGTCAGGGCCATATAGTTTAGCTATATTGAGAGAGAAAGGAGAATCAAGACGGGATAGGACTTTTCCTTGAGATGGATGGGATGATGATAACTGACAAAAGGCAGAGTTGTTCCACTCATGTTTCTGTTTTCCCTGCTAAGGAGAATAAACTTTACTCTGGCCCTGGATTCAGGAGAACCTGAGTTCAAATCCGGCCTCAGAAACATAACACTTACTAGCTGTGTGACCCTGGGCGAATCACTTAACCCCCATTGCCCAACCAAAAAAAAAAAAGATACAAAAAGTAAATAAATAAACTTTACTCTGGAAATGTCAGAGGACTATTATTTTAAACTATAGAGTTGATAACTAAGATAACTATTGTTGTTCATCCTTCGTTCTCAAAGAGGACCAATGACATCAGGAAGATGATGTCTTGAATTGCAAGTGAATTGGATTTAAGTGAGGTAGGGCTGTGCAGTCATCAGCCTCACTCTCTCCTCCAGAGTCACCAGAGTCCAGTGGCAAGGCATAGATCAGGATCACTGGTTATGGCCCAGGATGCAGGGGGTAGCCCTGGCCTTTTTAAACTAGGGTCTTTCCCTCCAAGATAACTAAGGAGATACTAAGGGAGCACCTGGCTGCCTTTGATGAAGTCAAGTCACCAGTCCCTGATTAATTACATACTTGAGTCCTGAAAGGACTGGCAGATGAGATTGTTGAACCACTCTTAGTGATATTTAAAAGATTATGGAAAGTGGAAAAGATGCTTCAAGACTGAAGAAGTGCAAATATTGTACTGACGTCCAAAAAAGGGAAGAGAACAGAAGCTACAAGCTATAGATTGTCTAGTTAGATTATAATTCCTAGTAATATTCTAGAGCAGATCAAGTGCTTGGCAAATATCTAGGAAGGGCGGTGGTGATCACAGGAAGCCAGCATGAACAAGTCATGAAAGATTAACTTCTTTTTTTTTTGTGATAGGATTACTAAACTTTTAGATAAAAGGAATATTTTGGGTATAGTTTATTTAGAATTTTAGCAAAGCATTTGATGAAGTGTTATATTTTTCAGTAAAAAAGATGGAAAGATATGTTTAAATGATACTATAATTAAAATAGATTCATAACTGGTTGGATGACTAGATTCAGAGTACTTGTCAATGGTTCAACATCAATATGACAAGAAGGCTCCCCTGGACTACCCCAGGGATCTATCCTTGGTCTTTTGCTATTAACATTTTTATCAGTGACTTGGGCAGCTAGGTGGTGCAGTGGGAGAGTGTTAGGCCTGAAGCCAGGAAGATTCATCCTCTTGAGTCCAAATCTGGCCTCAGACACTTATTAGCTGTGTGACTCTGGGCAAGTCATTTAACCCTATTTGCCTGAGTTTCCTAATCTGTAAGATGAGCTGGAGAAGGAAACTGCAAAACACTTCAGTATCTTTGCCAGGAAAATCCCAAATGGGGTCACAAAGTATTGGATGTGACAGAAAAAATGACTAAACAACATCTGAATCAATGACTTAGATAAAGGCATGGCTGGCATGCTCATTAAATTCACAGATGCTACAAAGCTAATATAGATGCTACTGATGCTGATTACAGTATCTGCATGTGGTTGAAAAGGCTAACACCTGGGGCACACGAGAGGTACCTAGGTAGTACAATGTATAGAACATGGCCCGGGAGTCAGGAAGACCTCAGTTCAAATCTGGTCTCAGACATTTACGACCTAGGTGACTCTGGGCAAGTCATTTAACCTTTAACTGCCTTTGTGAGGTGCCTGGCACATATATAGTAGGCACTTAATAAATGCTTATTTCCTTCCCCTTCCCCTTTGTTTCACAGGGATGGCTGAAGCTGTGTACCTATCAAAGAAGCAGCTTATTTTTTAAAAAGTCTGGCATGACTTGTGGCTTCAATGCTTTGGGCTCATAGTGATACAAGAAAATCATGAAAAAAGAGTCAACAGCTTGGTAAAGGAAGCAGAAAAAAAATACTGAAGAAAATAACACCTTAAAAAAACAAAATAGTCCAAATTGTTAAAAAAAAAAAAGGCACAAGAATCCAATGAAGAGAAAAATATCTTAAAAAGCAAAAGTGGCTAAATGGAAAAAGAGGTACAAAAATTTACCAAAGAAAAGAAATCCTTAAACAGTAGAATTGGCCAAAGAGAAAGGGAGATACAAAAGCTCACTGAAGAAAATAATTCCATAAAGATTAGAATTGGACAAGTGGAAGCTTATAACTCCAAGAGACATCAAGAAACAATAAAACAAAATCAAAAGACTGAAAAAATAGAAGAAAATGGAACTATCTCATTGGAAAAATAACTGACCTGGAAAACAGATCTAGGAGAGATCATTTAAGAATTACTGGACTACCTGAAAGCCATGATCAAAAAGAGAGCTTAGACATCATCTTTCCAGAAATTATCAAGGAAAACTACCCTGATATCATAGAACCAAAGGGTAAAATAGAAATGGAAAGAATCCACTGATCACCTTCTGAAAGAATTCTCAAAATGAAAACTCCCAACAATATTATAGCCAAATTCCAGAGCTCCCAGGTCAAGGAGAAAATATGCAAGCAGTCAGAAAGCAACAATTAAAATATCATGGAGTCATAGTCAAGATAACACAAGATTTAGCAGTTTTTACATTGAAGGATTAGAGGGCTTAGAACATTATATTCCAGAGGGCAAAGGATTCAGGATTATAACCAAGAATCACCTACCCAGAAAAACTGAGTGTAATCCTTCAGGAGAAAAAAATAGATATTCAATGAAGTAAAAGGCTTTCAAGCATTCCTGATAAAAAGATCAGAGCTGAATAGAAAATTTGACGTTCAAATACAAGATTCAAGAGGAGCATAAAAAGGTAAACAGGAATGAGAAATCATAAAGAATTCAATAAAGTGAAACTGTTTACATTCCTATGTGGGAAAATCATACTTGTAACTCCTAAAAACTTCCTCATTAAGGTAGTTAGAAGGAGTTTACATAGACAGAGGGCATGGGTATGAGTTGAATGTGATAGGATGATTATCTAAAAAAATAAAATTAAGGGGTGAGAAAGAGAAATGTACTGGGAGAAGCAGAAAGGGAGAGGTAGAATTATCTGACATTAAAGAGGAATAAAAGAGTTTTTACAGTGGAGGGGAAGATGGGGGGGTTGGAGGGGAGTGCATAAACCTTATTTTCATCAGAACTGACTCAAAAAAGAAATAACATGCACGCTCACTTGGGTATAAAAATCTGTCTTACCCCACAGGAAAGTAAGAGGGGAAGTTATTAGGTAAAAGAAGAGGGGAAACAATAGAAGGGAGAGTAAGTTGGAGGGGATAGTGAGAAGCAAAACACTTTTGAGTATGGACAGGGGAAAAAGAGAGAGAAGGATAAAGAGAAAAATAGGATGGAGAGAAATACA